GTTACCAACCTTTACATTGATAACACCAACTATAACCGTATCTGTCCACCATTTAGTACATTGATAACACCAACTATAACCGTATCTGGTTACCAACCTTTACATTGATAACACCAACTATAACCGTATCTGGTTACCAACCTTTACATTGATAACATCAACTTTAACCGTATCTGGTTACCAACCTTTACATTGATAACACAAACTATAACCGTATCTGTCCACCATTTAGTACATTGATAACACCAACTATAACCGTATCTGTCCACCATTTAGTACATTGATAACACCAACTATGACCGTATCTGGTTACCAACCTTTACATTGATAACACCAACTATAACCGTATCTGTCCACCATTTAGTACATTGATAACACCAACTATAACCGTATCTGGTTACCAACCTTTACATTGATAACACCAACTATAACCGTATCTGGTTACCAACCTTTACATTGATAACACCAACTATAACCGTATCTGGTTACCAACCTTTACATTGATAACACCAACTTTAACCGTATCTGGTTACCAACCTTTACATTGATAACACCAACTATAACCGTATCTGGTTACCAACCTTTACATTGATAACACCAACTATAACCGTATCTGGTTACCAACCTTTACATTGATAACACCAACTATAACCGTATCTGGTTACCAACCTTTACATTGATAACACCAACTATAACCGTATCTGGTTACCAACCTTTACATTGATAACACCAACTATAACCGTATCTGGTTACCAACCTTTACATTGATAACACCAACTATAACCGTATCTGGTTACCAACCTTTACATTGATAACATCAACTATAACCGTATCTGGTTACCAACCTTTACATTGATAACACCAACTATAACCGTATCTGGTTACCAACCTTTACATTGATAACACCAACTATAACCGTATCTGGTTACCAACCTTTACATTGATAACACCAATTTTAATCGTATCTGTCCACCAAGCTGTATATTGGTAAGACCCACTGTAACCTTATCTGGCTACTAAAGTCGTTATCTAGTTGACCTCAATTTATGTACACATCGATCCATCCATACTAATCGATCCATCCATACTAATCGATCCATCCATACTAATCGATCCATCCATACTAATCGATCCATCCGCATCAATCACTTTGTTAACTTTGATAAAAATGTCTCAAGCGTTTTAAACTCGAATTTAATAAAATAACAGTCTAACAGGAAAGTAGAGATTGAAATTAAATTGCGTTTAATTTCAACGATTAAACTTATGGAAAGGAAGAGATGTCTTCTTAACCTGGAACGTTCCCGGAGACTAGCCTTACACAATGTGTCTTAGATGTGTACACAATTCTAATCTCGTTTTTTTTTTTACGATACAAGTTATCAACACTGGATGTAAAAGAGTTGGCTTCTATGAGTTGATGTTAATTTGTAACGCTTCAATAAAAAACTAGCGCATGCGCACATAGGTCCTAGCGAGGGCGGATGTAGGCGATGATAAATTACGAACACATTTTGTTTACAATAACAAACAAACAAACAAACAAAATCGCTTCTCTTTTGGGATTTCAGGTATAATTTAAAATAAACAGAATTCTGACACATGTGGTGCCGGGCCGTCAGTTTCGTAAGACAATTTCGACTCTTTGTGTCGTAGGTTGGTTCCTTTCGTACACATTGGCGTTGAGGTTCGTGGTCGGTTCGGCCGTCATCTGCGTTCGCGTTCCCTCGCTTTCAGAGTTATTTCCCTGTAAAATCACCTGAACAAGACGATACATCCGCCATTTTTTAAAAATTTTTGTGTCTTCCAAGAATTATATCCCAACATGTTGTTCCCTGAAAAAGGGGGTGAACGTGTTATACATTAAAATGGCCTAGAGTGTAGTCGTTGTTGGCTTCATATCCGTTTATGTATATCCGTAAATTAGTTTTTCAAAAAAATGAACTGAAAAATAGTTGACAAGTCTGTTGTCTGACTATTGAAACGTAAATTCTACCAGAACATGAATAATCATGAGCATAAGTAATTGAAAAAAAAATATATATTTATAATGTTTTCATTGAATAGTACGGTTAGACTTAAGAATGAAAGATACATAATTTTAGTAATATGTTCATGTGCCGTTACCAACGCATAAAATGACTCCGTGTTAGAGATTATGACATGTATAATAATCTCGTCAGAAGTTGGTATTGAGTAGTTAGTGCACTGCAGTCAATAAAAACTGCCGACTTGTTAAGTGACCTTGGAACAGTCGGGGAGAGAAAGTGTCTCGTGTTAACGTCTGCTGAGTTTCATGGTGAAATGTTTGAGTTTGTATATACAGTCTTCCCTTGCCACTTCGCGCCTTGACTTTCACGGCTTCAATCAATCGCTCTTATTTCAATTATATTATATTCATTAAAAAGTTGATAGCGGCATTGAAAATGATACAGCACCCTCTTGGCTGTCTGAGTCAATTATATGTGAGTTGCCGGATGTAAGTAGCAATGGTGATGAAATAATTGTCCTTGGTTTTATTAAAGAGTGATGAATATGTGGAGCTAACAACACACCCCTGTAATAAAATGAAAAGGAAAATTACTGTACGTAGGGACTGTGGGTCTATGTATTCGAGCCCCCTTGTAAATCATTCATAGGTTACTGCTTGGGTGTAAGGACTGTGCCGAGTCCAGCCGGTACTGACCAGCCGTTCCTACAATGAATCAGTCTTTGAATGGATACTGGAATAAACTAGTCAACCTTGCACGGCTGGTGTTCCTCGAGTAACTATATAACAGTAATTAAACGTACAATAATTATAGGATATTTGTAAAATCTAATAAGTCATATTGTCTTTTATTTTGTCTACTATTTTGGTTAAAACGAGTGTAATGGTGACTTAAGGATGTCATTGTGACTAAAGGGTGTCATGGTGACTAAGGGGTGTTATTTCACGTCTAAAGGTTGTAATAATGATTAAAAACATATTTAGGTTGTAATCATGTTTTCTGTGCTCTTACTACGAAAAAGATTCTATTTATAACTAAAGAATCCTACTTCGCGGAAATTCACCTGTCGCTGTCACGTCTGGAACTGATTAACTGTGACAAACGAGGGCTGACTGTATTCCTGTTTAGAGAAAGGTTTTTAAACAATGAAGTTTTTGGGGCTTTTCGTGTTCATCACACCCTGTTGTATCCTCAGTGCCGGTCCTGGTTATATGTTCGGGGGCTGGGTGTTGGTGTACTCAGTTCTGTATTTCAACCCCCACTACCAACAGTACCGTAGCTTTTAAGGGGAACTAATTTATTTTTGCGTGCCCATGTAAACTAATGACATCCTTTTTGAATCAGAAAACGTGGTATATAAGTAGCGTTAATTATTTGCACCAGACACTAACAACTCACCGCTTGGAAATCACTTTTCGCCAAAGAAAATAAAGACTCCATTTCATCAAGAGTTACTGAATACTTTCAACATCTGACCTATAAAATACAAGATGGAACGCTTGATCAGCGGTTTCTTCTGCCTTGCCTTTCTGATCCCAGGTAGCACTGCAGGTTTTGTCAACGACTGGGACCAGCCGTTTACTTTCAATTGTCAAACCGGACATGTCATCTCTTATGTCTCTAGTATCCATAACAACCGCGCAGAGGACAGACGCTGGGAGTTTCGTTGCAAGAACGTTGTCAAGACACATTCATGTTCTCACAGCGGTAAGTGCTACGTCTTTTTTTTCCAGTCATTTGGAGCAGAACTCGGTGCTCCGGAGGAGTATTTCTTTGCCCGTAGCTGAAACTTGAAAAATTTCATTCTTCTCTTAAACATTTTTATAAAATATTTTTTTAAACAGAGGAAATGTGTACTTATTAATTTTTTTTAAATAATTTATTTATACTAATGTGACACACATTTCCAGCTGTATCACTTCATCATCAATACTCGTTACTTTCTGTATCACTTCATCATCAATACCCGTTACTTTCTGTATCACTTCATCATCAATACCCGTTACTTTCTGTACCACTTCATCATTATTACCCGTTACTTTCTGTATCACTTCATCATCAATACCCGTTACTTTCTGTATCACTTCATCATCAATACCCGTTACTTTCTGTATCACTTCATCATCAATACCCGTTACTTTCTGTATCACTTCATCATCAATACCCGTTACTTTCTGTATCACTTCATCATCAATACCCGTTAGTTTGCTCCCACATTTCTATATGGTATATTGCTCCCACATTTCTGCCGAGAGATCCATTTCACATAATAAATGTGCCACATCTTCTTTTCACTCCTGGGAACACAAGGCGGCTGGAACTATGTTTCCTTGAACAGCGCACGTAAGGTTTGTCATTTCAAAGACCTGAAAATGTCACAATTATTACGTAATTTTCCTATCTTTTAAAAATATTTTCGAAAACCATAACTTCGAACACTGTATTTCGCCATATATATAGCCGTAACAAGTTGTTTTTAAAATCTTTCGAAAAAAAAAGTTGTCAATACTTTTTCGTATAGATTAAGACCCACTGTGCTGCCTCGCATTAATGGAGAAGTGCAAAACAGCTGTTGAGAGATTGGCCAAACGGAATACCAGGATGTTTTAATAATCAATATCTTAATTAGATTGGGCAGACTGTACACTTGGATGTTCTATGACTAGATTTCAGCCATACATTACAAATCTTATACGTGCTCAATATGCGATAGTTTCAGTACTGCTAAGCTGAATTGGGACAAAATGTATTTTAGAATGCAATATAACTTAATATGATAATAACTTAACTTTTATTGTGGCTGGTTGGCCAAATCTGCGGACTGTTGATTGACAACTTCTCGTCAACCTATCGAACTGACACTTGGCACGTAGCATAAACTCGTTGTTCTGTCAAAATGTCAGCCCTCCCCGACTCCAAACCGAAAAATAAATTTTTCCTTATTTTCAAGAGGAAGATAAAGGATTTATGATTTTACTCAAATAAATCCCCGATCCCCGGGCTAAATGAGTTTTCTTTTATAAAAAATATCGCAATAGTGTTTAAAGCGAAATATTTTCTTTTGTTTCTCTGAAATAATTGGTAAAATAAAACTGATGCGTGAAAGTGATTTAGTCTTTAGAATATTAATATACTTCAGTGGCGGGAAATAAATGTGCTTTTGCTTGCGTTTGGGGGTGGGGGTACTAATTGGAATTCTTATCAATCACACGTGTCAAGCTCAAGGCCCGCGGGCCACATTCAGCCAACCCTAAAATTACATCAAGCCCACTAGGTCTTGACTGGCGAACAGTTTTATGCAAGTCAATGCTATAGTGTTTCCCAATGCACACTTTGCTGAAAACCTCAGCTTACTTCGCGCCGAGTTCGCACGGCGCTTTAGAGATTGAGAAGCACAGAAATGTCATTTTGAGCTGTTTCGTAACCCATTAGTCATAGACGTGGAAACTACACCTGTAAATTTGCAGACGGAGCTAACTGAGCTGCAGTGTAATGGGACACTAAAGGCAAAGTACGACACAGTTGGGCCTGCACAGTTCACTCGTTTCATTCCTGAAGAGATGCCCCAGCTTCCTCTACAAGCGTCTCAAACCTTGAGCATTGTTGGGTAGCAGATATATGTGTGAGCAACTGTTTTCTTTGATGAAAATTATCAAAACATCACTCAGGAGCCATCTCACTGTTGAACACTTGCAGTCCATCATGAGAATCTCAATGACGAAGAACGTTACTCACAACATAAATGAACACTTGTTTTTGTAGCCAAGAAAATGTGGCACACATCCAGCTCTGACACACTGGCATAAGAAGTAAAATGGGTGTGCCAAAAGTTTTAAATATTAAAACTTTTTTTCTGTTTTCATGTATACAAATGTTTGTTTTTTAAATATTAATATTTTTCTGATTGAATCTTAATCCTGTTCAAACAGCAATCTTAAAGTGATTTGAGTTTTGCGTCCCCCCCCCCCGAACACTTGAGTATGACACCCCTGTTATTAATTGTTAATTGTTAATGTTTTGTCAAATTTTCACATTCCACCCCCTTCCCAAATAACTTTTTATTAGGGATCTGTCCGACAAACTTGTTATTTTAGGGGCTGTTTACTATATTATTTAAAAAATACATTGACGTTTTCTTTACACCAAAGGCGTCCAGCCATATACATACTACGATTGTGTTGTTGTGTGTCGTCATATCAGAAACGGACTGAGATCAAATATGTAACGCGTGTCATCCTTGAAAAAGGGTCATGCTATACCACTATGAACCAGGGTACTTAAGAAAGGGCCTTAATTTTCCATTTGGAACCGAAGATCTTGAAAAAAGACCTTGTTATACTACTAGGAACCGAAATACTGGAGAAAGAGCCATGCCAGACCACTAGGCGCCACGCATAAAATAATAAAGACATTGTTAGTAAAATAAAAACAAATTGTAAAAAGAAAGTCCTCGCTAATGTTATTTTTTGTGTGTGTCTATTCCCTCAGGATACGTCAACGAGTTCGACCAACCTGTCGTCTTCAAATGTCCGGGCGATCAGGTGATGACCGGCGTAGACAGTTACCACAGCAACAAAGCTGAGGATCGCAGGTTCGGCTTCCAGTGCTGCAACGTCCAGGAGCGTCAACCACGCGACTGCTACATCACCGGCGACGTTAACCGCTGGGATGGCAAGATGACCTTGGTTGTTCCGTGGGGCAAGGCCATCAAGGGCGCCTACAGTCACCACAACAATCACTATGAAGACAGGCTCTGGCGATTCGAGATCTGTACACTCTAGATGAAGTCAAGAGGATCCCACACTTTTGATGACTTAAAATATGTTTACACTTGAGATGTCATGAAACTATAGCTCTGTTTAGAAATGTATTTTGTCGTTGCTATAAAATATTGAGATGATGCAAGACAAATAACTTGTTATGAGTTGTTATTTTAAAAAATAATAGTATTATTGCTTTACAGATTATCTAAATGAGACCTGGTATCAAGCATTTTATGGAACTCTGGGGTCAGCAGTCAATCTTACTTACAATTTTAAAATCATTTAATATTTAACTTAAGCTCACAGTGAAAAGAAGCGATCTCTGAAAGCTTTGATACTTTTTAGTGTAATCATGGTCAGCACTAAGCCATGATCTACGGATATCTTTGATGATCCGCACGGCAACTCCTATGTCATAATTTGAGCAACCATCTCTAACCGCATCTGTCTACCAACCCGTACGCTTATAACACCCCGGGACATAAAAGAGTCGGCTACAATGTGTTGCTTGTTAAGTTGGAACGCTTCAAAACAAATCAAGCCAATGCACAATTGACAGTTGGCGAGGGCGGATGTAGGCGATGATAAAATAATTTTGGTTTACAATAACCAAACAACAAAATCACTTTTCATTTTGGGATTTCTGGTTTAAATTAAAATAAAAAAAGATTTCCGATGTAAGTGGTGGTGGGCCGTCACTTTCGAAAAATCATTTCGGCTCTTTGTGTCGTAGGTTTGTTCGGTTCGTACACATTGGCGTTGAAGTTCGTGGTCGGTTCGGCCGTCATCAGGGTTCCTGTTTAGAGTTATTTCCCTGTAAAATCGTCTAAGACAAGATGGTATATACGCGATTCGTTTTTTTTTTTGCTTTCCAAGAACTATATGTCAACATGTTTACATTAAAATGGCCTAGAATGTAGTGGTTATTGGGTTCATATTCTCATATTTATGTAAAGAAAATGGGCAAATACAAATATTGATATCACATTATCATTGTATCATGTCCATTTTTTTTGATAACGAAGGTTCCTGTAAAAATTTTGAATTCGAGTCAACCACTCCGATTCTAAATCACTGTTTTAAAAAGGATTGAAAAAAAAATTAATGAAACGAGTTTTTCCCCCAAAAAAAATTGAACAGGAAATAGTTGATGATAAGTCTGTTGTCTGACTCTTGCCACGTAAATTCTCTCAGAACAGGAAATAGTTGATGATAAGTCTGTTATCTGACTCTTGCCACGTAAATTCTCTCAGAACAGGAAATAGTTGATGATAAGTCTGTTGTCTGACTCTTGCCACGTAAATTCTCTCAGAACAGGAAATAGTTGATGATAAGTCTGTTATTTATTTATTTATTTAGGCATTTTTATATAGCGCTTATCATAAAGCTCTAAGCGCTTTACAATTATTAAAACATGTAAACTAAGTAAATACAAATGAGACACTAGGATAGTAACTACTATTCTATAGAAACAATTACGAGGACACTTTGACACTTCAGGATCAACCCGAAACAGAAAATGAGGTAGGGCAAGGAGGGTGCATCACAGGTCATAGGCGGACCTAAACAGATGAGTTTTAAGGGACTTTTTGAAAATGGACGAGGTTTCACTATGACGTATATGGAAGGGGTGCTGGTTCCAGAACGTGGGCCCATGGAAGCAGAAGGAGCGTTCACCGATGGTCTTAGTTTTAGTTCTTGGGATTGAGAGGGTTCTACTGTCAATGGAAGAACGTAGTTGTCTTGTGGGGATGTAAGGAAGCAAATTGTTATCTGACTCTTGCCACGTAAATTCTCTCAGAACAGGAAAAAAACCAGGCATAAGTAATTTTAAAAATAAATATCTTTAATTTCTTCAATGAAAAGTACGGTTAGACTTAAGAATTACAGATTCTAATTTTTTAGAAATATTTTCATGTGCAATTCATAACACATAGAATGACTGGCGTGTTAGAGATCATCACATGTATCATAATCTCGTTAAAAGTTGGTATTGAATATTTAGCTCATTGCATTCAATAAACTCTACCGACTTGTCAAGAGACCTTGGAGTGGCCGGGAAGGCAAAGTGTCTCGTTTCAATGTGTGCTGGCTTTCATGGGGAAACAAACGTTTGAATTTGTACATACAGTCGTCCCTCAATTTGTACATACAGTCGTCCCACAATTTGTACATACAGTCGTCCCACAATTTGTACATACAGTCGTCCCACAATTTGTACATACAGTCGTCCCTCAATTTGTACATACAGTCGTCCCTCAATTTGTACATACAGTCATCCCTCAAATTGTACATACAGTCGTCCCTCAATTTGTACATACAGTCGTCCCACAATTTTTACATACAGTCGTCCCTCAATTTGTACATACAGTCGTCCCTCAATTTGTACATACAGTCGTCCCTCAATTTGTACATACAGTCATCCCAAAATTTGTACATACAGTCGTCTTACAATTTGTACATACAGTCGTCCCACAATTTGTACATACAGTCATCCCACAATTTGTACATACAGTCGTCCCTCAATTTTTACATACACTCGTCCCTTAATTTGAACATACAGTCGTCAGTCAATTTGTACATACAGTCGTCCCTCAATTTGTACATACAGTCGTCCCTCAATTTGTACATACAGTCGTCCCTCAATTTGTACATACAGTCGTCCCTCAATTTGTACATACAGTCGTCCCTCAATTTGTACATACAGTCGTCCCACAATTTGTACATACAGTCGTCCCTCAATTTGTACATACAGTCGTCCCTTACCATTTCGCACTTCGCATTTCACGGTTTCACTATATAGCGTTTAAAAAAAAAAAATACTGCATATTCATTAAAAAGTTCATGGCGACATTAAAAGTGATAGACCGCGCGCTCGGTTGTCTGAGTCAAGTATGCATGTTGGTTGCCGGATGTGAGTAGCAGAGATGATAAAATAATTGTCCTAGGTTTTTATTAAAAGTGTGAAGAATACGTGGAGCTAGCAATACACCCCTGTATTACAATGAATATATGAAGCTAAAATTACACCCCTGTATTACAATGAATGCGTGGAGCTAGCAATACATCGCTGTATTACAATGAATATATGAAGCTAAAATTACACCCCTGTATTACAATGAATATGTGGAGCTAACACTACACCCCTGTATTAAAATGAATATGTGGAGCTAACACTACACCCCTGTATAACAATGAATATGTGGAGCTAACACTACACCACTGTATTACAATGAATGCGTGGAGCTAGCAATACATCGCTGTATTACAATGGATATATGAAGCTAAAATTACACCCCTGTATTACAATGAATATGTGGAGCTAAGAATACACCCAAGTATTATCATGAACATTAAAATTACTGTACGTTGGGACTGTGGGTCTATGTATTCGCCGCAAATCTTACATAGGTTAGTGGTTGTGTGTAAGAGATGTGTGTGTGTGTGTGTAATTACTGTGTTGACGGCACCACTTTGTGTGGCTTATGCGGCTTTGGAAATGTGCCGCGGTCATCGAAAAGCGTATTTATGTCGTCATCAGGTTTTCTTTCTTCTAACTACGAAAATATTCGATTCGTAAAAGAAAGAATGCTACTTCGCCGAAATTCACCTGTAGCGGTAGGGTCTGGAAGTGATTTACCGCGATAAATGTGGGTCGACTGTATTCCTGTTTAGAGAAGGGTGTTTATCAACAACCTGGGTTTCGTCTATTCGTCAGAACTACATCCTGTTGTACCCTCAGTGCGTGTCCTGGTTATATGGTTGGGAGCTGGATTTCGATGCAATCAGTTATGTACCTTTAAGGGGAACTAAAGGTTGTTGTTTGCTAAGCTTATCCTGTTTCATTCACAAATGGAAGTGTATAAGTAGCGTCAATAATTTAAACCAAACGTTAAAATATCCTCACTGGGAAATGCGTTTTACTAAACAAAATGAAAACTCAATGCAATCAAGAGTAGCCTAAAAGTTTAGCAGCCCCCTAATACTTTAGTAGCCCCCTTATACTTTAGTAGCCCCCTTATTCTTTAGTACCCCCTAATACTTTAGGGCCCTCTAATACTTTAGTAGCCCCCCAATACTTTAGTAGCCCCCTAATACTTTAGTACCCCCTTATACTTTAGTAGCCCCCTTATACTTTAGTAGCCCACTTATACTTTAGTTAACCACTTTATACTTTAGTAGCCCACTTATACTTTAGTATCCCCCTAATACTTTAGTATCCCCCTAATACTCTAGTAGACCCCTAATACTTTAGTAGCCCCCCTTATACTTTAGTAGCCCCCTTATACTTTGGTAGCCCCCTTATACTTTTGTAGCCCCCTTATACTTTAGTAGCCCCCTAATACTTTTTTAGCCCCCTAATACTTTCGTAGCCCCCTTATACTTTAGTAGCCCCTTATACTTTACTAGCCCCCTAATACTTTAGTAGCCCCCTAATACTTTAGTAGCCCCCTTATACTTTAGTAGCCCCCTTATACTTTAGTAGCCCCCTTATACTTTAGTAGCCCCGTAATACTTCAGTAGCCCCCTAAAATTATTATATATCATTTTAAAATTAATTTTAAAAATAATTTACATTTGTTTCTAAATATATAAATAAATTAAAAGTGATTTCTTTTAATATAAAAAAACCACTTGTAATATTAAAAAGACAAATTGTATGTGAATATTATGATATCCACGTTAAATTAAAGTGCTATGTTTCTAGCATATACCTGTAAACAAAATTGAAACACATTAAAATTTCAAATGAATAATGCTGTAAACTTGTTGTAAAACGTTACAAGTAATTTTAAATGCTAACTTTCAAGAATGAAAATATAAAACTATTGTGAATAATTATTTTTTTTAATTTCAAAGGAAAACATGCAACAAATTATCACATATAAAATTCATATTTAAGTACTTTGTTAAGTGCTAGATTAAAATATAGTAGACAAAACAAAAACAAATTTTCTTTAAATAAAAGAAACATTTAATCAAGTCAGAGGTGTGAAACCTACTGTAGAGGTTTTCGTGGTCATTTATGAAAAATCTTGAGGAAAATAATGCTAACTAGTTTTTTTTTCATTACTTACTAATTGATTTTCAAAACCACAATTTTTTATCATTAGTACCTACCATTGACAAGACCCCAATCATATAGCATAAGTATCTACCATTTTTAAGACCACAATCATCTAGCTTTAGTACGTTCCATTTCAAGACCACAATCATGTAGCATTGGTACCTAACATTTTCAAGACCACAATCTTATAGCATTAGAATAAATGGACACACTTTGTTGAAAACTAATAGTTTATTTGGGTCAATTTTCCAGCATTTATTTATTTTTGTAATAAAAATATTTCAATCAAATCCTTTGAGATTCGAAATTTCCTTAAATCCTCTCTTGTTTTAATACCAAGAAACTGTCTTAAGTTTATATTGTGGAAATAACGTTCAATTATTTACACTCTAAATCATAATTATACTATTCATAACTATAGATTATGTTAAAAGACTTTGTAATAAACAACTATATTAGTTTAGCAGTGAGCAACACATCTACAATAATAAAAACAGTCGGCTAATTAATAGTAGGACTAAATAGGCCTACATTTCATTTCATAGTCGGCTAATTAATAGTAGGACTAAATAGGCCTACATTTCATTTCATAGTCGGCTAATTAATAGTAGGACTAAATAGGCCTACATTTCATTTCATAGTCGGCTAATTAATAGTAGGATTAAATAGGCCTACATTTCATTTCACTGAGAAAAAACAACAAAGGAAAACAGTCGAGTGCTTACAATTACAAAATAAATTCTGGTAGAACTAAGAAATATTCAGCAATTCTGCATAGGTAATTTTATGATTGCTTTCCCGAGTTTACTAAAGTAAAACATAAAAATCGACTAATATTATTCTTTTTTTAACTCATTAACATAGCAAGTATGTGATATTCGAATAATGTGTAGCCTATAGTGTAGAGAATTCTATAGGCTCTAACTTAAGGACGTTATATTAAACTATAATGAAACTCAATTAGGCTTTGGTACTTTGAATAGGACAATTATTTTAAAATATACCCTATAGAGCCTAATTAAACTCAATTAGGGTTAGATTGGCTACTAGGAGGTGGACCATTATTGTGTACTACATTTAACCTCAATTAGGCTTAGTCTACTAGGACTAAGGGTAGGACGATTATTTTTTAATTATAATAAAATTATAATAATATTTATTTAGGCATTTTTTATATAGCGCTTACCTTAAAGCTCTAAGTACTTTACAATTATTAAAAACATGTAAACTAAGTAAAATAAAAATGAGACACTAGGATAGTAACTACTATACTATAGAAACAATTAAAATGGCTATAAAACGAGGACACTTTGGCAGGGCGAGGAGGGTGTATCACAAGTCATAGGCGGACCTAAACAGATGGGTTTTAAGGACTTTTTGATAGTGGACGAGGTTTCACAATGACGGATATGGAAGGGGAGCTGGTTCCAGAACGTGGGCCCATAGAAGTAGAAGGAGCGTTCACTGATGGTATTAGTTTTGGTTCTTGGGATTGAGAGGGTTCTATCATCAATGGAAGAGCGTAGTTGTCTAGTGGGGATGTAAGGAAGCAACAGTTCAGAGAGATAGACAGGAAAGTGAGGGTCAGTGAACGAGTTGAAGCATACATTGGCAGACTTGTATTTGATGCGAGAGGATATTGGAAGCCAGTGGAGTTGCCGCATGTGTGGTTGAATGTGCTGATGTTTCTTTGATTTAAAAATGAGTCTGCAAGCCGAGTTCTGTACCTTCTGAAGTTTGTCTATGTGGTGTTGAGGAATGCCTGTGAGAAGAGTGTTACAGTAGTCAAATTTTGAAAGAATGAGTGAAGAGACGAGAGTTTTTGTGGCATCAAAGGAGAGGAGGTGCTAATGGTACTGATTTTTCTAATTTCGTTATATGCTGATATACATATATTCGTGACATGTTTGTCCATGGAGAGTGTGTCTGTAAGCGTGACTCCAAGGTTTCTGGCAGAGGAAGAGAGTGTGATGTCAGGGTTGCCAATAGATATAGAAGAAGGAGCGGATGGAGGGAGAGGTTTGTTTTGAGAGTGGATGAGAAGGATTTCCGTTTTATCATCATTTAGCTTCAGTTTGTTGCAAGTCATCCAACGCTTTACATCGTCCACGCACTCCTGTATGCGAAGGATTGTGGCATCAAGTTGATCAGGAAAGCAAGAGTCACTGATTTGAGTCTCATCGGCAAAGGATTGACTAGAAACTGAGTGGTGGCTAATGAGAGATGATAGAGGTTTAGTGTAGAGGATGAAAAGGACCGGCCCAAGGACCGATCCTTGAGGAACTCCAATAGACAGGGCAGAAGGTTTGGAAGAGCAGTTGGAAATAGAGACTGAGTTCTGTCAGAAAGATATGATTGAAACCAGTTTAAAGCTGAGCCAGTAAGTCTGAAAGAAAGATGAAGGCGGTCAAGAATAATCTGGTGGTCAATGCTATCAGATGCAGCAGAGAGATCTAACAGAGTGAGAATAGAGAGTTTGCCATCGTCCATCGCGCGCAGGAGATCGTTTATGACTCGGACCAGTGCTGTTTCTGTGCTATGACCAAGTTGGTAGGCGGACTGGGAGGAAGGATAGAGATTGCGAGAGTGAAGATAGTCAGAGAGTAGGATAAGTAGGAATATTATATCTATTTAAACTATGTAATATGCAACTTCATTATGCTTAGGTTAAAAAAGTAGGAAGATTATATTTAATCAATATAATATGCAACTCCATTAGGCATAGGTCTTAGGTACTAGGAGTACGAAGATTATTTTAAACTATATTTACTAAAATAGGACAATTATTTTAAACTGTTATTATAATACTTCATTACGACGTTATAGGCCTACTAATTGTCTAAGTCTATGGAATTAAAAATATAACATTTTTTATTGCGAGTATAATTTAAAAGTAAAAGTAATATTTTCCATAACGTCAAATAAGTAATACCTCCTTTCCATACCGTTATCACACCATTGAATCTTACTCTTAATACTTAAGATGTGTAATGTTTTCTTCATCACAGTCATCAGTAATTTAGCCTATTTAATATTTAAATATTTTAAATATTTGTATAAGAGTATTACTGGCAATAAAATATTAATAAAAATAATTCTTCTTTTCCACGACAAAATTTAACTTTTGATGCAATAAATCTATTAAGTTTATAATAACTAATATTATTATTATATGTGTTTATAAAAGTATTTGAGTAAAGCATAGTTTTAAAAAATCAGTAGCTCTTCTTTAAAATGATTAGTTCTAATCCTAGCCACTTATGATTGCCGACTTATCTTTTACGCTGCTAACCAACAATGACCTTTTCAAAACTTTCAATGTGTTTGCTATCGACAACGGTCGCAAATTTCAGTGTTCGCAATTTTCCAAGTACGCTTTCGTCGGTGTACGCAATCTTCTGAGTGCGCAGTTTTCCTGCGCGCAGCGATGTCTTTGCGGAATTTTCCGTGCTGGACGATCGTGTGCGCGTTTGTCATGTGCGCGTCTTTCACGGAACCACTTCCGGTTCACTTTCAACCGCTCACCTATACAAAAGAAAATGACATGCTGGATCGGCGGTCTCTTCTGCTGTGTCTTTCTGATCACTGGGAGTACAGGGTATTTTGTCAACGACTGGGACCAGCCATTCACGTTCAACTGTCCAACCGGACAGGTCATCTCTTATGTCTCTAGTGTCCATAACAACCGCGCTGAGGACAGACGCTGGGAGTTCCGTTGCAAGGACGTTGTAACTACACATTCATGTTCTCATAGTGGTAAGTGCTACGTCTGTTTATTCCAGTGATTTGGAGCAGAACTCGGTGCTCCGGAGCAGTATTATTTTGCCTGGAGCTGGAGCTGGTAAATTTCATACTGCTCTTAAAATTTTCATTTTTTTTTAAATGGAGATAATTTGAACTTATTAATTTAAAAAATTAATTTATTAAATCTAATGTCACACTCTTTTCAAGCTATATAACTTCATGATTCATGATTGATACCTGTTTGTTTGCTCCCACGTTTATTCTACTATGTGGCTCAAACATTTCTACTTGGTATGTTGCTCCCACATTTCTACTTGGTATGTTGCTCCCACATTTATACTTGGTATGCTGCTCCCAACATTTCTAATGATAAATGTGCCATAACATTTTTTTTTCCATTATTGGGAACGCGCGATGGCTGGAGCTATTGTCCTTGACAAACGCATGTAAGGTTTGTGAATTCAAGGAGCTGGAAACGTCACGATGTATTACGTAATATTCCTATTTTAAGACAAAGTTTTCCTAAAACATAACCTCTAACACAGTTTTTCCGAATATATGTAGCTGTCATAATTTGTAAAATCTTTCGTAAAATAAAGCTGTAAAATACGTTTTCGTCTTGGTTAAGGCTTACATTAACATATAATGACCAAACAGCTGTTGAGAGATTGGCCAAACGGAATACCAGGATTTGTCATTAATATCTTAATGAGATAGGGCAGACAGTACACATGGATGTCCTGTGACTAGATTTCAGCCATAAATTACAAACCTTTTAAGCGTTCAATATACGATAGCGTCAATACTGCTAAATTGGCCCACACTGTATTCTGTGAAAATCTGCGGACTGTTGATTGACCCATTTTTCGTCAACCTATCGAGCTGACACTTGGCACATAACATAGACTCAAGACGAAGATGAGACACTCTATCAAATTGTCAGTCCCGCTCCATACTCCAAACCCCAAAATAAGTTTTTTTCCCCCTATTTCTGAAGTTGCATATGAAGGAAATATGATGTCACATAAAAAAAAAAATCCCCAAAATGCGCTAAATGAACCTCTTCACAAAAATATCGTTGGTGTGCTTTTTATGCAACATTGTTGGCAAACATTTTTTAAAAAATCCAATTGTAAGAAGAACGTCCTCGCAAATGTTAAAATAAAATGAGTAAAACAGAGTAGGCTTTCTGCCGACACATTCGCTGTTTTGTTGCGTTTATTTTTTCAGGTTTAACACTACTCTGTTTTACTCATTTTATTTTATTTTGTACTAACCTGATTGCAGTCTCTCCCCTTATTACCCTCGCAAATGTTATTTTTTGTGTGTGTCTATTTCCTCAGGATACGTCAACGAGTTCGACCAACCTGTCGTCTTCAAATGTCCTGGCGATCAGGTGATGACCGGCGTAGACAGTTACCACAGCGACAAAGCTGAGGATCGCAGGTTCGGCTTTCAGTGCTGCAACGTCCAGGCGCGTCAACCACGCGACTGCTACATCACCGGCGATGTTAACGGCTGGGACGACAAGATGACCTTTCATGTACCCGAGGGCAAGGCCATCAAGGGCGCGCACAGTCACCACAACGATCACTATGAGGATAGGCTCTGGCGATTCGAAATCTGTACTCTCTAGATGAAGTGAATTGAAGAGGATCGCAAACTATCGATGACTTAAAAATATGTTTAGCCTTGAGGTGACATGAAACTAGAGCTCCGTTTATCAATTTAATTTGTCATTGTTATAAACATCGAGACAACGCAAAACAAATAATATTGTTATTAGGTGTTATTTTAAAAATAGTATCATTGCCTTACCGTTGTCTAAATAAAACCTTAAATCAAGGATTTTATTCAACTCAGGGACCGCAAATAATGTTCCTGAATTTTTTAAAACTATTTAATGGCTCACTCAAAGTCAGAAAGAAAAACTGAACTTTGAAAGCTTCGATCTTTGAGAGCTTTGACCATTTTCGTATAATCAAACTCAGCACCTAGTCATGTTCTATGGATATCATTGATAATCCACCCAGCAAATCCTAGGCCAAAATTTAGCGTACATTGGATATGATGTGTTTGTTTTATAGAAACTGGGAAGGAAGAGAGACACCACGTTTATTTTAAAATTAAAAAATACAAGTTTTACATTACACTCTTAGCATGAAATCTATAAAATCCAAGTATTAAAAAAAATAATGATTGTCATTGGGATGTGTGCAAGGGCGTTATGTGGCCAGGGAAGTGATGGTGAAAAGTGGGGCCAGGGACGTGATGGTGAAAAGTGGGGCCCGGGACGTGATGGTGAAAAGTGGGGCCAGGGACGTGATGGTGAAAAGTGGGGTTTGGGATGTGATGGTGAAAAGGTTATTGGGTTCATATTCTCATATTTATGTAAAGAAAATGGGCAAATACAAATATTGATAGGGCCCGGGGCGTGATGGTGAAAAGTGGGGCCCGGGGCGTGATGGTGAAAAGTGGGGCCCGGGGCGTGATGGTGAAAAGTGGGGCCCGGGGCGTGATGGTGAAAAGTGGGGCCCGGGGCGTGATGGTGAAAAGTGGGGCCCGGGGCGTGATGGTGAAAAGTGGGGCCCGGGGCGTGATGGTGAAAAGTGGGGCCCGGGGCGTGATGGTGAAAAGTGGGGCCCGGGGCGTGATGGTGAAAAGTGGGGCCCGGGGCGTGATGGTGAAAAGTGGGGCCCGGGGCGTGATGGTGAAAAGTGGGGCCCGGGGCGTGATGGTGAAAAGTGGGGCCCGGGGCGTGATGGTGAAAAGTGGGGCCCGGGGCGTGATGGTGAAAAGTGGGGCCCGGGGCGTGATGGTGAAAAGTGGGGCCCGGGGCGTGATGGTGAAAAGTGGGGCCCGGGGCGTGATGGTGAAAAGTGGGGCCCGGGGCGTGATGGTGAAAAGTGGGGCCCGGGGCGTGATGGTGAAAAGTGGGGCCCGGGGCGTGATGGTGAAAAGTGGGGCCCGGGGCGTGATGGTGAAAAGTGGGGCCCGGGGCGTGATGGTGAAAAGTGGGGCCCGGGGCGTGATGGTGAAAAGTGGGGCCCGGGGCGTGATGGTGAAAAGTGGGGCCCGGGGCGTGATGGTGAAAAGTGGGGCCCGGGGCGTGATGGTGAAAAGTGGGGCCCGGGGCGTGATGGTGAAAAGTGGGGCCCGGGGCGTGATGGTGAAAAGTGGGGCCCGGGGCGTGATGGTGAAAAGTGGGGCCCGGGGCGTGATGGTGAAAAGTGGGGCCCGGGGCGTGATGGTGAAAAGTGGGGCCCGGGGCGTGATGGTGAAAAGTGGGGCCCGGGGCGTGATGGTGAAAAGTGGGGCCCGGGGCGTGATGGTGAAAAGTGGGGCCCGGGAGTGATGGTGAAAAGTGGGGCCCGGGACGTGGACAGAAAATAAGCTCATCAACGTTTAGAAGAATTTTCTACTGGGGTGGAGTTTTAAAAAGAACATTTTTAGCCCCCCCCCCCCCTGTCTTTGTTTAGCAGGCCTTAAAGTGTTTATTAGTTCACCCTTTAGATGCCATCTGAAGAATATTTTTGTTAACAACACCCTGATGTTGGAATCCGGGGTTAGGCCCTTTTAACATTGATATACTCATAACAAACACACACACACCCAAACAATTTGGTGAGGGACTTTTTTTACTGAATGCTGATGAGGGTTAAATCATAAACTTAAAATTTTCCGTTCCCCAGACTCATACTTTTTAATAAAGTTGGTAATAAAAATTAATAAAACAATACTGTAAACTGCCCATTACGCTGAAGCACACTTGAAACATGTCTTTAAACCTTATCTGAGTCCTAAAGTACAGCCACCCTTATGCCATGCAATCCAATGTAGTTTCTCAAAATGATGCAGTATGTCATAGTAACAGTTATTTCCTTAAATGTAAGTAATGTATATGTATATATAATATGTATGGCATCCTTCCATTTCCCGCAAGAGGGTGGAGTAGCTATAAACCCTTCAAATGACATACGAGGCTTACCCTGGAATGGCAGTCTTGGCTTCCTTTCTCGCAAGAGAGCCTTGACCCCTGGTTAAATTTATCTTTTCGTATGCTCTTTTTGTTTCTCGCATCAACAGCTTTTTTGACACATGTTTACACTGATGTTGAAAGAATATTTCGATGAAAAGAATATTTTGTGTGTTCCATAGTTTTCCTAATTTTTTTGCAAATTGGACAATTTTTTTCTACATAGAAATAACTAATCGCTTCATTATAAATGTTTGCAAAAAAAAAATACAACATCAACGTACAAAGTACTTTGAACACTTGAAAGATTCAATAACAATGCCAGGCCTGGCTGGCTTTTGCCTCTTATTGCTTTAGTGATGACCGGTTCCTTAGGCAATTATGTCAGTTAATGGGACGCTGAGTTTGATTTCAAATGTCCATCTGGGAAAATCATCAGCTTCATCTCAAGTGTCCATAACAATTACTTTGAAGACAGACGCTGGGAGTTCCTTTGTATGGGGTGTTCCAGGAAATCTTTATGTACAGAAAGTGGTAAGACTTGTTACTGTTTTAGTTTTAGTTTTCCTCACGAAAGAAAAAGAAAATAATCAAAGTATATTTTATAATCATGTAACGAAAGTAAAATAATTAACTTTTATTTCGCCTCAGTGATTTCAAATGTTACGTAAAATAATTCAAATGGTCGCTTAAATATCAACACGTAAAATTTTATTCCATGGGGCATAATTCTTTCAAAGAAGTTAATAGTGTTAAATGATAAGTTCTAGAAATTTTTACATATTTTAATTTAAGTTACTAAATTACTTGAGCTCTATTGTAGACCGGCACCAAAATTTTCAAGTCTTATAAATTGTTTTATTAAGCATTATAGAGTCAAATGTATTTTGAAAATTTTAAAAACAAATTTGTGGATTAGCAGAAATCAAAAGTTACTCTTCTTAAATATCAATTGTTCTTTATTCAATAAAAGATTATTCATTTATACTGAGAATTGTATAATAATTCAAACTATACACTCTAACCGCCAAACAAAGATTTAGCCAAACAACTATGACTAGCTGAATTCACCATTTCTTCTTAAACGTCTTTGAACGAATCGAAATTATACTTTACAAATTAGACAAACTTTAAAAACAAAAGGTTGACGAACAAATCCCTTATCAAATGTAATATCGAGCAATTTTGATGGTAAGGGGGGTGGGGTGGGGGGAGGGCTGTTGAAACTTTGACAAAACATGCATATAAGTAACGCACTTAATAATAATCTCACTAAGTACTACCCCCTCCCTCAAGGCTCGCAGCCGAACACATTTTTTCATGCCAATGAACTATATTATTAATTGTCTAATCACGCAAACATTTTTACACCGCAGATTTATTTCACCAAAAATTTGTAGAAAACAAAAGAAAATACAACACACCCAACGCATTTGCGATTTTTTTTAAAGAATCTGATTTAGCGCAGTTATCGGGAATTTATTTTATCTTCCCCTAGAAAAACTGATTTTTGGGGGTTGGGGCTGAAAATGTGAAAGAATGTCATCAGCACCTAGTCTAAGTGAAAAGTTTCCTCTCGATAACTTTACAGGAGGTGGGTCAATTAGCCGTCCAAAAATTTTAACACCCAGCCAGTCAGTGAGCCAGCCACAAACAAAAGCAAAGTTAATTTTGAAAAATAAAGTTATTCCAACAAATCCAGCATTTTTTTATTTATTTTTTTACTACTTTTTCCAGTCAGTCAATATGATTAGCAGAGAATTAAAACGAGCAGCAGAGGAATAGATATCGAACTTCTTGTAACTCATAATGTTCACCTTTTTCAAAATCATTGTGTTTTGATATATTGGTATCCCATTATATAAACTCAACACATATATGCGGACAGGCAGATAGAAAGATACACAGACACATAGAAAGATAAACAGACAGAAAGATACACAAGACAGATAAGATAGATACACAGACAGATAAGATAGATACACAAGACAGATACGATAGATACACAAGACAGATTAGATAGATACACATGACAGATAAGATAGATACAAATGACAGATGAGATAGATACACAAGACAGATAAGAAAGATGCTCACGACAGATAAGAAAGATACACATAGATGATAAGAAAGATACTCAAGAAAGATAAGAAAGATACACAAGACAGATGAGAAAGATACTCAAGACAGATAAGATTGATACACAAGACAGATAAGAAGGATACTCAAGACCAGATAAGATAGATACACAAGACAGATAAGAAAGATAGTCAAGACAGATAAGATAGATATTCCAGACAGATAAGATAGATACACAAGACAGATAAGAAAGATACTCAAGAAAGATAAGAAAGATAATCAAAACGGATAAGAAAGATACACAAGACAGATAAGAAAAATACTCAAGACAGATAAGAAAGATACACAAAACAGATAAGAAAGATACTCACGACTGATAAGATGGATACACAAGACAGATAAGAAAGATACACAAGACAGATTAGATACACAAGACAGATTAGAAAGATACTCAAGACAGATATTAAGATACTCAAGACAGATAAGAAAGATACTCAAGACAGACAAGATAGATACAGAAGACAGATAAGATAGATACACAAGACAGTTAAGAAAGATACTCAAGACAGATAAGATAGATACACAAGACAGATAAGAAAGATACTCAAGACAGATAAGAAAGATAATCAAGACGGATAAGAAACATACACAAGACAGATAAGAAAAATACTCAAGACAGATAAGAAAGATACTCACTACAGATATGATGGATACACAAGACAGATAAGAAAGATACACAAGACAGATTAGATACACAAGACAGATACCAAAGATACGCAAGACAGATAAAAAGATACTCAAGACAGACAAGAAAGATACTCAAGACAGACAAGATAGATACACAAGACACATAAGAAAGCTACTCAAGACAGATAAGATAGATACACAAGACAGATAAGAAAGATACTCAAGACATAATAGATAGATACACAAGACAGATAAGAAAGATACACAAGACAGTTAAGAAAGATACACAAGACAGATAAGATAGATACATAAGACAGATAAGAAAGATACACAAGACAGTTAAGAAAGATACACAAGACAGATAAGATAAATACACAAGACACATAAGATAGATACACAAGACAGATAAGAAAGATACTCAAGACAGATAAGAAAGATACTCAAGAAAGATAAGATAGATACACCAGACAGTTAAGAAAGATACTCAAGACATATAAGATAGATACACAAGACAGATAAGACAGATACTCAAGACAGATAAAATAGATACACAAGACAGATGAGAAAGACATTCAAGACAGATAAGATAGATACACAAGACAGATAAGAAAGATACCCAAGACCGATAAGATAGATACTCAAGACATATAAGATAGATACACAAGACAGATCAGAGGGATAGGAAGAATAGGACGGATGGACGAATGGATATATGGATCGATGGATATATGGATATATAGATATATGGATCGATGGATATATGGATAGATAGATAGATAGATAGATAGATAGATAGATAGATAGATAGATAGATAGATAGATAGATAGATAGATAGATAGATAGATAGATAGATAGATAGATAGATAGATAGATAGAT